ACTATAACTTTCATCAGAATAAATTACTATTAGCTAACATTTAGTAAAGTTTTTTTAAGAAAAAAACAATCATTTCTTTTAAAAGCGAAACTTTAGCGGCCAAGTTTTCCAAAAACAAACTAAAAAAAATACACTGCCAATCAAAATCAACAATAGATTTTCGCACATGGTTCTAAACCTTTGAAAAAAGACAAAACAAAACAACAAAAATCAGTCTGTCACTAAAATGTTTCATCAAAATTGACATTGTCGCGTTAGTGTGTCTGCATGAGTGTGGCTGTTCAGTGTGTCTCCTCTTTCTTTCCCCCACTCGTTCGTTTTGTTTTCTGTTCATCAAACGATGTTCGCTTACTGTTTTTTTTTTTTTTTACCTCATTTTATCATTACTCTCCATTTTGGTTTATTGCTTAGATATGTGTGTGTGTATGTGCTCTAGAACATAATAATATCATTGTAATAACAGTTTTTTTTCTGTCTTTATGTCTAAATTACTTTTTTTTCATATTTCCTTTTTTGAGTCTTCAGTCCGAAAATTCTACCCGAATTTTCCCACACTGTGTTGTAACCCTCATTCTGCAACATCCATGCTAGGAGATCCTCGTCACGGCACCAAATTGAACCTATGTTCCATATCCCCCTCATGGGGATGATCTTGGGCGACGGGGTCAATTCCATAACAATAGCGTTGCCTTCTTTCACAGCGGGTGTTAGCTAGTTGTTTCGGTTCAGAGATAAAAGAACTTCAACAAGGGGAATAATAACTAGTTTATTAGACACATTGACGTGTACATTTCTAAATATACAATGGGGTCGCTCTCCCCCTCTACTGGGGAGCAGATCCAAACACGAACACGTCTACATTGTTCGACGGTTAAGACTCAACTCTCCGAAAAACTACAATTCCCATGCTAGTTCAGCCAATCAAAATCGACTTCCTTTGTTTTGTCCTGTATCTTGACCCCAAAGTTGAATCTAAGAAAGAAAAAATAGAATTCTCTAAAAATAATAATCTGCTAAACTATTATTTAACAATAGAAGCGAATTGTTTGTTCTCTTTACAGAAAAAAAAAACAAAGAAAATTACTAGGAATTTTTATATACTGAATATAACTTATTATCTTACCGCATCTTACACCATTTTTTTTTTTATTGATGTTGGTTTCTCAAAGCAAAATTTCAGGGATAAATGGCAATGATAATATAAAACTTTTCCCTATAAGGAAACATTTAGCTTTCATTAATCGAGCAGCCAGTGCTAATGTTGATTGAAATTTGTAAAATTCTTCTCTTTTTTAGGTAAATACGTTTCTCAAGTTCAATAGCTTTTTCCATCTTTCCACTATTAATGGAGATTTCCTTCCTAACCTTTTGTATGAAATAGTGTGGAATACCAACATCTTAATTATTTCATGATATTACCTTGTATATTAGCCTCGTGTCATCAGAGTGATTTTAGATTGAAGATTTCCAAATCGATGGCTTGCGAGATTAGAACACCTGAAAAAAAGCTACAAGACTCTCTTAATATCATAACTCGATATTCTGTTTGTTTGTTATCAAGAATGCATTTGACAACCAAAAGCCTGCAACGTACTAGGATTTCAAGAAGATCATCAAAGAAGAAACAGGTTTGATAAAACATGAAATATGTCAAAATAATATTTGATATTTTCATGAAAGATTTCAAATTTGCGTTGATGATTGTCTCTGGTGAGTAATATAAATTTGATTCATTGACTGATTTGTTAATACAAATTGTCCTTTATATATATATATATATCAAATCCGTATGTGGAAAAGATAATTCAAGTATGTCTTTTTAATATAAAATATTAACACATCCATAAAGATAGATCCATAAAGAGAGCTTAATGTATAGTGTACAGGGCAATATGATATATATCAAGGAAAATTTAAAGGCTGTGAGACAATTTCAGCAACCACATCACTCCTTACATCTGGCCACCTAGCTCCCCAGACTGCAATCCACTTGATTATTATGTGTGGGGCGCAGTTCAAAAAAAGACCAACAAAACTGCTTGTAACACCAAAGATGAACTGAAGGCAAGAATTATGTCAGCATTTAGCAACTTAAACAAGGAGAAAAACCAGTAGAGTTGCAGGAGAGTCAGTGTTATTTTCATTTATGCATAATTTACACGACAATTTATCTATCGCAGGTTACAAATTTCAACTATTGTACAAAGAGTGTTTCATTATTTACATGAAAAAATACGTTTGCGATATGAAAATCAATTTTGTTGGCAGACATATTGTGAGGGAGTGATTGATTTGTTTTTTTTTTTGTTTTTACTGCCTTTGTGGATTATTTAAATCTGAAAAATATTTTGGGTTGTAAGAATAAATTTTATTTTTTTGCGTGTGGATATTGTATTATCAGTTTTTGGGAGATAACAACCATTTTTACAAATGCGTGTTCAACTATTTAACCCATAGCTGGGAGAGAAGTGATTTGTTTCATACCTTTGCCGGTGGTATTTTGGCATTATTCAATATAACGAACTCTATTGGAATTTGAACTTGGATCTCCGATTTTTTATTTTGAGTCACAATCCATTACACCATCCGCATATCCATATTACGAGGGATAAAGTAAATGTAATGCAATAGATATTTTTTATTGAGACATGAAATCTGAATACACTTATTTTCCATCAAGTACACAAGATTGTTCAAGGTTTCAAGCGGCATTTTATCCAAGCTGCACAAGTAATTAAGCTGTTACTCTTTGCAAATTGCCTTCTTTCTTAGTTTGAAAATGTTTTACAAGTTCTTAAGAGGATTTCAAGCGGATTTAAAGATCAGTTCATAACCAGGATGCTTTTACTATCAGTCTATTTCTTAAGCACTGCATTATCCTTATTTGTAAATTTTTACCATAATCTCGGCTGTCAAATATAAGACTACTAGCAGTAGAGACCGGCGTTGCCCGGGGATATAACAGTAAGAGATAGATCAAGTATCGACCATCATAAACACTGAAAAATAAAACTGACAAAGATTATTGTTTAAGGTTGACGGACACGCATGTCTTAATTAGTTTTGTTTATTTTTTTACGAATTGGTCAAACCCAAACTCAAACAAAAACATTGCTTTCAATCCTTATGAGTCTACCGATTGAATAGAATTTTATTATAAACAATTGTCTTGTAAATGGAATTTTTAAAGCATTCTGAATATTAAAAATAAAGAAAAAAGTGTGCAAGAGAATAAGAAACACTATCTGCCAAAAAAGAAAAAAAGTGAATTTTTGTTTTATCGGCTGAAAAATATAGGAAATCCGCTCCCATATGTAAAGGAACCCACACACACAAACAACCCGATGTGATTTTTACGATGTCTCTTAATCGTGCTTTCAAATTGATTTTGTGCAAAAACAATTGTATTTTTCCCATTTTGGGCGCTGTTAGAACCACCACAAGGTAATTTTATGTAGTCCTGTGAAGTTTTGTTGAAATCGGTTGAAAAATGTAGGAAATCTGATCCAATATATAAACGTTATAGACACACACACACACACACACACACACACACACACACACACACACACACACACACACACAATTTGCGTTTTATAATAAGTAAGATTCTTACTCTGTCCAGGACATTGAGTTCTACCTGGATTCTATCCTCTTGGAAATTTATGTATATAATATATATATATATATGTATGTATGTATATTGTGACCACTAATATTATCTCTCCCTCTCTCTCACTCTCTCTCTCTCTCTCTCTCTATATATATATATATATATATATATATATATATTGACCACTAATATTATATATATATATAAGTACTGTGCATATAATATATAAATAATTTTTTTTTTACGAATTGGTCAAACCCAAACACAAACGAAAACATTGTTTTCAATCGTTATGGATCTACCGATTGAATAGAATTTTATTATCATTGTAAATGGAATTTTTAAAGCATTCTGTATTTAAAAATAAAAAAAAAACTGTGCAAGACAATAAGAAACACTATGTGCCAAAATGATTTTCACTTATTGAATACAGTAAAAAAATTGCATATTTTGCTTGTGGTGATTCATAATTAGAATTCTGATTTGAATATATTTTCTACTCGTTGTTTCTAATACAAAAAATATTAACTTTATTTGGGTTTATTAATTATGATCCAACAAATCGTATTCATTTAGTAGCCTTTTTGTAATCTTTTACAATTTATGATTTTTACTTATTGAATACAGTAAAAAAATTTGGACACCATGTGTATTTAAAGTAGTTTCCGGTTATTATTTTTAGTTAGGAGGACTTGTATATGTTTAGATTTCATTTGTTTACTTTTTGTGTATCGTTCTCTGAAAAAAAAACACAAAACGCTGAGTCACGGCATTCGGGCGTTTGAATAGCTGGCAGTAACTTTCGGCCGGGTGCGATACACTTAACCGGGCTTTCAAATCGATTTCGTGCAAAAACAATTGTATTTTTCCAATATTTGGCGCTGTTAGAAGCACCGCAAGGTAATTTTATGTAGTCCTGTGAAGTTTTGTTGAAATCGGTTGAAAAATGTAGGAAATCCGATCCAATATATAAACGTACAGACACACACGCGCGCGCGCGCACACACACACACACACACACACACACACAATCTGCGTTTTATAATAAGATAACGTAACACTGCTTATTCTCTTTAGTGTGTCACCAGCAATTTAGCTGAATTATTGACTGAAAAAAACGTTACACACATTAATAAATTATCAGTTAAATGAATATTTGGGAAAAAATTGCTCTTTCTTCCGAATATCGAGCTAATAGCATTGCATTCAAATGAGGCCATCAAGTTTTTCGTCAAAAAAGTTCGTCCATTTTAACTTCGTTCAAGTGATCTTTGTTGGCTCAACGCTTTTTTTGTTGTATTATTAAAAGTAGGGACCATCTTTGTCGACGCAAATAAAATGTTGGCTGATTCCTTGAGACCTTGCCGGACACTTATATTACGGTCAAATGTATTTCGAAGACCTCTCGAACACAACTGACCTTTTGATGTCTTTTGAAGAAGTCGAAGACGGCCTACAGCGGTCAATTTGGGCGGTCTTCCAGGTCGCTTCTCAGTACTATACGTTCTCGAATTCTTTAATGAGTGTTAATGATAGTTATAGATCTGTTCACGTATTTCAAATACTAATATCCACTTCATAATAATCCAGACTTTTCATGTTTTCTTCTTAAATGATATTGGTTCCTCTTGGCACCTTTAAACACAATATGTGTCGTGTATTGAAATGACAAATGAAAACTCTTAGAATCACTTCGAACAGGATTACATGAATCCCTAAAATAGATCAGAAATTCTTTTGCAAGATCTTTTATTTCCATCCTAGGAATGCGTGATTAAAAAAAAAGCCTTTCATTTATGTGAGAAGGTCGCTAAAAGCTAATTTTAAAATCAAATCCCCCTTCCATTTTTTTTTTCATATGTAAAAATTAGGTTATGATCTTTGATTAAGATTGGAAATTTGGAATCTAAATTTGTGGAATTTCTTAGAATTATTCCCATCACTTTGGACACACACAAACACACACACACAAACATACGCACACACACAAACATGCGCACACACACAAACATAGGCGCACGTACGCACGCACGCACACACACGCACGCACACACACGCACGCACGCACGCACGCACGCACACACACACACACACAAATATATATAATCAAACAGTTTGCTAAATATAACTGAATCAATGTAAACGAAACCCGATCCATCCAGCAATTAAATATTGAAATGTAAATTGTTGTCAGTGACCTACAGACAGGCTATTGTCTCAAATCTAATTGGCCTTTGGGAGAATATGGTAACCGTGTAACTTTGATATTTTTTGTAAAGACGATACTGTTTAATCATTGGATATCACTCATATTTCACGCACGAAAACTGATTTTTAGAAAACAAAAGACCGAGGATAATTGAGTACACCCGAACCCAATTGTGCTAATTAAAGTACCAAACTAATTTTATCAGCAGCATCATAGCGCAAGGTTTAATACTTATATAGATAATTAATGTTGATATCATTCACTGCATATCCGTTTTTATAACTGTCGAAAGTTTGTAGCAGAAACTTGGCAATTAGTTTATTCACGTAATACCACTTAAGATAATAATTTGAATAAAAAAAGGTTGCCACAAGCTCCCAGTATTTTTCATATTTTCATTTTTTTATGCGATTTATAAATAAAAGATTTGGTTGAAAATAAATGATTGACACTTGACTTTCTTGCATCTCTTAGCTTGTTGAACTACCAACTTCAAAACAACTAAGATATTAAATCTAATCGGTAAAGTTAGTTGTTGATAATCGCTACCCTTTTTTTAGAATTTAGATTTTTCTTTTACTTTTGCTAAATGATCGTACTCCCACTTTATTTTTTTTCTTCCTTTTTATAACTAAATTTCGCCCAGTACAAAGCCCATGATCCATTTGGTTTGCTGAACGAGGTGTGTGATATGAGCATAAGAGGAAGATGTAGGAAATTTATGAGGATAGTGTATAGATAAATACTGACTATAGACTTGAAGTGTTTCCGATTGAAGTGCTTAAGGAAGCACCCACACAGGAGTCTGTTCCATAAAGTAGCGGTTCTTGGAAAGAAGCTTCCGAGTAGAACATTCTTCTTACCAAAGGAATATAGGGGGAATGACGGTGATTCAGACTTGTGGACGTAGCAAGCCGCGCCTTGACTGCAAAGTTCTGAGTTGGTGGCACTGAAGAATGGAACGTGTCTGAACAGTTGCCATTGAAATAGCGACAGGCATTCAAAGAGTTTGTGGGGTGGAAAATATATTATCCTCCCATGAGTTCATCGTAAACGAATTTAACACTTTTAAGGCTGAAAAGGGATGATCATGTAGGCCCATCCTAAATATGACAGCAAAATATTCCATGTTTGATTTGAAGATATAGCGTGATAGAATGAACCAGTCACAAAGAACTGACAATTTTTCTGGCATTTTTAGCAATGGATCATATAAATGAGTTTCAATTGAGGTCTAGTGTGAACTCGTCCCAAGAGATATTTGAAGCAAGGGGCCTCGTTAAGAGAACAATAATTTATCATGATTTGTGAGAAACAGGTTGACATTTCTTTCTGCGTTAGACGAATTGCCATCCAAGGCTACAGAACCCAGTCTATCCTGTTATTTATATATAGCTGGGAGGAGAGGAAAAGGAATCATACCTTTTCCAAGGATATTAGCACGTAAGTGAATGTAAAGGATTCAACTGGAACAAATATTAATTTTTTTCTAAAATGACGTTCTGATGTATATTGTGAATGATAAAACAACAAAATGAAAAAAAAATAGTCTTTAAAACTTAATCTTCTACTCTGCTAAATTAATGTAAAAATACAGACAGATTTGGTTCATAAATTCTTTAAGATTAAACTTCATTCTATATAATATAGCTTTTTCTAAATACAAGTATACATCGAATAATATGCATTTGATCAATGCGTTTTCGATTAGTGTGCTAAAATTTTTATATCCCAAAATTCGATTAGTGCATACCTAATACTCGATTAGTGCAGTAAAACATTCTTCAGTTTAACCATAGTAACTGAAAATTGATTTTTTTATAGTAACCGATTAATTAAAAATTTCCTAAAATTTAAAAATGGAAAATGGGTAACTATTTTGTTTGTCAAGTATTACGTTACCTAAGTAATTACAGTAGTGTTAAAAATGAACAGTTATAAATAGATAAATTTTATAATATAAGCCGATAACAAAAATACATATTTGAATATTTTAATTTTTGGAATATTTTGATATTTTCATGTTTCTTTTGAAAGTCTTAAAAGTAAATTTCTGAATTTTTGTTAAGAAAATGGTTTATTTAATCAGATACAGAAAATTCGAAATATAAAAGGTGTATGCATTTAATTTGGAAAGATTATAAATAAAATTTTCAGGTTAAAATACCAATAATTTTGATGTGTTTGGAAAATTTCCAAAAATATGAATGTAGCTATATTTTAATTTAGAAGTACGCAAATTAGAAATTAATTGTGAATGGCATTAAAATTTGAGTTACAAATAATATTATTTCCTATAAGTTATTAGATTAGATTAATTCGTTTTCGATTAGTGCGTCTCTTTTAATGGGCTCCTCACTAATCGAGGGATTACTGTACTAATCCCTTAACCCAAACCATAAAAGACTATTTTCGTAGCATTTTTGATCGATTTGTATAAGATTTTTGCATTCAAAGTTGATATTCATATTTTTCTACATTCAGCAGATTTTTACAGCGTAAATTCCTAGCAATTAGCCTTATTTTAGTTTTCTGGCAATTAGTCTTATTTTAGTTTTCTAGCAATTAGTCTTATCTTAGAATTATTAAGTCCTTGTCTACTACAATAAAACTATTTTACTTAATTTGAAATACCGACAGCATTTACTTCTGTTCATTCATTCTTACTTTTTAAACCTGCATAATTTTGAAATTTGACATGGTTAAACATTTTCTTTTAGGCTGTCAAGAAGTTGTTTAAATTTAGTAAGCCAGTGAATAATTTCGATATAGACAATAAGACTGAGGATCATATGGTGAAGGTTACAATTGTTTTCGCCGTGTAATCGTATATGATATTAAAAAAACAAAACAAATAAAATTCTATTTATAGTTTTCATTAGTTATATAATCTTCTAGGTACTTACATAAAGAGGTTACATTTGCTTATGTAACTATAAGAGTTTTGTTTATTTTTTTTTTTTGCAATTGATTCATTTAGTATTGTTATGCGTTATTCACTTCGTGTGGTATCTGTTCACTTTCTGTGGTATCTGTTCACTTTCTGTGGTATCTATCCACTTTCAGAGGTATCTATTCATTTTCTGTGTATCTGTTCACTTTGTGTGGTATCTCTTCACTTTGTGTGCTATCTCTTCACTTTGTGTGGTATCTATTCACTTTGTGTGGCATCTATCCACTTTCTGTGGTATCTTTCCACTTTCTGTGGTATCTATCCACTTTCTGTGGTATCTATTCATTTTCTGGGGTATCTATCTACTTTCTGTGGTATCTATCCACTTTCTGTGGTATCTGTTCACTTTGTGTGGTACTCCTCACTTTCTGTGGTATCTATCCACTTTGTGTGGTATCTCTTCACTTTCTGTGGTATCTATCCGCTTTCTGTAGTATCTATACACTTTCTGTAGTATCTATCCACTTTCTGTGGTATCTATCCACTTTCTGTGGTATCTATCCACTTTCTGTGGTATCTCTTCATTTTCTGTGGTATCTATCCACTTTCTGTGGTATCTATCCACTTTCTGTGGTATCTATCCAATTTCTGTGGTATCTATCCACTTTCTGTGGTATCTCTTCATTTTCTGTGGTATCTATCCACTTTCTGTGGTATCTATCCAATTTCTGTGGTATCTGTTCACTTTGTGTGGTACTTCTCACTTTCTGTGGTATCTATCCACTTTCTGTGGTATCTCTTCACTTTCTGTGGTTACTATTTTGTGACCAATACGTTGTCTTTTGCATTTATGGTTTTTATTTAGATTTCATGCTTTTCTATTTCATTTTTAGCCTTTAATTCCTTCCGTGAAAGTTGGTTAATGTATTAAGAAACAGAAAAAAATCGTTAGAAACAAAGAAAAGAATACTGAACTGTTATGTAATATCAGTCTTCTTATATGGCAGTGAAAGCTGGACAATCTCCTCAAAGATAAAGAAGAGACATGAAACAAGAGGAAAGTGGTTCTATCGAAGGATACTGAGGATACCATGGACTGAACATGCGAGCAACGACGAAGCTTTATTGAAAACAGAAACAAAAAGGAAACTTATACGTAACATCAGGAAGAAAGAGTTGAAGTTTCTCGGGCACATAATAAAGGAAGAGGGCTTGGAAAATTTAATACTCACAGGATAGGTTAATGGCAAGAACGAAAGAAAGAAACAGCGTATAACCTGTCTAGCGAGCTTCAGTAAATGGATGGCGGAACAGGTTTTAGGAGAGATAACAAAAATAACATTTATTAAGAGCTACAAAGGACAAGAAGTTGTGGAGAGTAATGTTCACGAAAGTCCTTAAGGAATGCGGTGCCTAGAAGAAGAAGATCCTCTGGTGATGATTTAAGTCATTAATCACAGAATTAGTGAATTACTCTATCGTAACTTCAACGCAAGAGTGATAACCTTAGATATCGTAAAGGCATTTGACTTAGCTTTAGTTCAGTGTTTCTCAACCTTCGACACACATTCGAAGAACAAATGAAAATATCACAGGACACTTAGTAAAATTTTTAAAGGGTAGACATTTAAATTTTATAAAATAAAAACATGGATTTAAAAAACAGGAAAATAAAAATTTCGAATTAAAGAATGTTGTATACAATTATATATAAAAAGGTTAATATTGATTTATTTGAATAAAGGAACATTTTAAAAAGTAAAATATTCATTTTTTTAAATCATTTTTATTTAAAAAAATGAATATTAAAATAAAGTATTTAAAATAACATAATCGAAGAATAGTGAAAAGAATTATTTGAAAAAAGTTTAGTACTTATTCAAATACTAACGCGATACCATTACTATTTCAACACACACACACACACACACACACACACACACACACACACATATATATATATATATATATTTCGCGGCACACTCAAAAGGATCGCCCGGCACACTGTTTAGGTCGTTATTAAACATGCTCTCTTATGAAATGTCATTCCTTTGTTATTGAAATGACTTATTTTATCTCTTTTTACACATTTAAAATAATAAAAAAAATTCATTAATTTAAAAGTCTATTCAGTTTTCACTTTTTATTCTTTATTTGTAATTTGGTTTACAATGAGATTGCGTTTTCTGCTTTCCATTTTCTCTCATATTTTTTTCTATTTTTCATTCCTTTAAATCTGTTTTCTCCCCGAAAATCTTTTACTTTATCATTTTTTATTCGTTTAAATCTTCTTCATTTTGTTACCAGTATTTCCTTCTTTCATTTTTCCTTTTCTCATTTATTTTTCTTCTCTATCCATATCTTCCCTTAGTCATTAGCATTTGTTAATCTTATCTTTCAAAGAATATTTGTTGCCGTTCCATGTCTGTTTTTTTTTTTTTTAATTGCGACGCTACCGTTGTTACTAATGGCGGGTGTTGGGGTGTTGATAATTGGCAAGAGAAAAAGGAAAAGCGAAGGTCGAAGTTGACGCTGAACTTGGCACAAGGTGCGTATGCACGTGTAGATAGTTGCGTGCGTGTTTGTGTGTTTGTGTGAATTATAATATGATTCCCAGCTCGGTACATGTGTACGAAGCTGTTCCGACGCCCGGAGAGTTCTATTTTATTCCAACCTCAGACATTGTCACTGCAGTCATTCGTGGCTGTGAACAGTTGTAACTTATCAACCGTCCAAGTCAACCCAACCTGATTCCCTCCACTCCCATCATCACCGTCATCACCATTATAATCATCAACAACACCAACAACAGAAAGCATTACATAATATAATAATCAGTTCAGCATATAAAACCATCAGCATCGTTATTTAAAAACATATCCGTTGCTGATGTTTCACACTCAAGATGTACAATTAGGAATTGAGCAATATATTTCGGAGTATCATTTGACAATCAGTGCCATTTTAAGATAATTTGTTGGTCAAACGCTACTCCATTTTGTTGGATAGAAGTTGATGCTTTTGTCAAATTATTCTCATATGTTTGTCATGTATGGCGCCTAACTCTTGGAAATGGAAAAACTATCAGCTACATGAAACAGTTTTCTAAGATCAATGGTTAAGAATGGCTTCAAGTTAATGAATTCTTTACATGTTAAAGAAGACGAGTCTTCATTAGATCTTAAAAACTGATGCTATACAATCACAAAGAGATTTACCAAATAACAGAAACACCTGAAGACTTCCAACAGCGACAACAATTAACATTGATAGAGCGCACAGACACCCCTCACACACATAGCAATTTGCAAAAAGTCAAAATAGTTTACAAATTCAAGTGCCCTTTGGGAGATTGTATCTACAACGGATTAAATAATATTTATGTTGGTCACACCACAAACTCGCTTTCACGACGCTTGACACTACATTTGAATGATAACTCTAACATTTTTAAACATTTAAAACAACATGCCTGGCCGCATACACAATTCCGGAAAATCCTTGTCGAAAACACAACACTTCTTAAACATGAAAACTAAAAATTCTTGAAGCTATATACATAAAACAGTTGAAACCCAACCTGAACAAAATAGACTATGAAATCTCCGCAAATATTCTTAAATACCTATAATTGATAACAGAAGCCATTGGTTTATACCAACAGCTTTCCATACTTAATACTTCTCGTTTTCACTCTCGCATGGTCATGTGTTCACGAGTTTGTCGTTGCTTGGAAATCTTCCATATAAACATAAACAGACTATCATTATTGTTTCGTGCATGTATTGTTTAATATATTGTAATCTTATTGACATCTTTGATAATGGCTTATGTAAGACAAAAGCTTAGATAAGATTAAAAATATGTATTAATATTGTGATTTTCTTTCTTCTTTTAATTATGTTATTAAGCTTATCAGACGATATGAAAAGAATTTACATAAAATAAATAGACAAAACTGGTCTATATTATTTAATGAAACATGCATCAATATATATATATATATATATATATATATATATATATATTTTTATGTTTTTCTAGTGCATATTTATAATGGTGTGGAGGGAAAGAGGCTGAATAAAGCATTCAAGTAGGAGTCGATAGTGTAGTGTATCCCAAATTCGATTGTAAAACGAAAAATACAGTGAACAACGTGTAGATATTTAAGGGTGTTTACTAAGGTTCCAGTTTCTGCAGACCCACCTTTTTTAACTGCCAGCTATGAGTCTCTAATTTTGTTTCAGCTGATGCAATGCATGTAGGTAGATGAGATTCTGGATTGTTTCCAGCTTACTGAAGTCATCAAGACAACAAGCGCTACAAACATTAAGGCACACTATATTACCAAAAGCACATCAATGTTGGGAAGATTGAATGTTCATGGTGGGAAAGTATGGTTTCTCAAGATGATTCTGTCGATTGAGTTCTGGACAGCAGCACCAAAAGAAATAACTAAAATATTCAGAGTATTCTGAAAACATAAGCCCCTCATGTGGAATAAAACAACAGTAGACAGTGGAGGTAACCGAAAGGAAGAGAAATTATTCCAGTTCACCTCTTTATCTAAAGCAAGCAGCAAAAAAAAAAAAAAAAAATCAAAGTGAAGAACCAAGGGCGTAAAATAAATTACCCATTTCGGATTTTAGGAATCGGAGAGCCGAGTTTGAATTCCAGTCGAATCCATTACATTCACTTACGGGGTAATACCCTTGGGAAAGATGTGAATCCTATTCTTCTCTCCCCAGCTATGGATAAATAGCAGGACAGACTGGGTTCTGGGTTCTTGGATGACAACTGGTTTAGAATAAGGACAACTCTGAATTCAAAACCTGCGGAGTGTTGTTTGTGGACTTTGTGGCGCGTAGTGCACCAGGTCTCTGTATTCGTCCCTTCAAAAAGTGTGGATGGTCCTGCACGAAACCTTCACCACTACAATCAAATCTCATGTGCTGTTGTCGGGCTGTCGGTTTCCTAGGAACTGATCTGCATGTACCTCATACGTAGAATTTGACGGGAGAGTATATATATATATATATATATATATATATATATATATATATATATATATATATATATATATATATATATAATTTACGCAATAAAACAGTTGAAAGGTTTTGAATTTATAGAAATATATATACACATTCACAGACAATTAACCCCTTGTGAAGATGGTCTCAGATGATATTGAAAGTACTTGGGAAAATGAAAAAAAAACATTTCAAAAGAAATTTTTGTATTTTTCTTAATCAATTTTCTAAGCCTACCAAGAAATTAATCCGTGAACTTGAAAGGATCACAACCAAAATAAATCGACATAATATGTCTAAATTATTTAACGAAACCTGTTTGACTGAAAATATGCAGCCTAAATACACACACACACACATACACACACGCATATATATATATATATATATATATATATACTTTCATGGTTATTGCTTCTATGGTAGCTAGATATTATAAATTTAAGTGCAGTACTAGATTGGCGATAACGTTTCATCGATTTACTGTTAATGTATCACAAGTTCTTCAATCAACTCTCTTGAGGTTTTGAGTTCTCCTTTTCCTAGATTGGTTATCAATCAAGTCTGTCCTGCTATTCAAACATAACTGGGAAGAAAAGAAATTTCCCATTGGTATTTGCACGTAAGTGAATGTAACTATGCTCGGCTCTAATTCGAACTATATATATATATATATATATATATTTATTAAAGAAATTCAGGCCGGTAAATGTTATTTAATACTGTTTATCATAAACAGAGCATTTGCTTAAATACTTGTATCTATAAATAACAACGTTAAACATAAAAAATGTCTTTAATAAATAAATTGTCGGGCCTTGTCCATTATATAATATATATATATATATATATATATATATATATATA